AAACCCTAATTTTGGGAATTTATTTTTGAAGCCAAATTTTGAATTAATTTGAATACAAACATTGCTCCAAAAATTGAACTAAACATTGCTAGATGATTTACAATAGTAGCCAAACATGTTTTACTAACCTAGCAAGAAAAATTCAGGGCAAAACAATTCTTAAACAGGTGTATGCAACATTCAGGTTTCACGCATGTTTCAGATGTTTCAAAGCAATGTTTCAATTGTTATTCACATGATTAAGCATGTATGATTTGGATGCTTGATGATGCATGATATGCGTGATTTGCAGTGCCTAAATGTAGGCATAACACCGAGGTGTTACAGCAATATAGGGGAGGGGAAGGCCGGGGCGGTAGATTCCGGTCGTCGGGGTGGGATCCAGTGGTGAGCGGCGGCGCGCAAGCATCACCACCGCTAGTACTAGCAGCACCAGCCTTGGCTCGGCTGGTGGGCGACGCGCGCTACGAGAGGGAGCGGGCGGCATGGCGCACGACCGAAGCGAGGAGCTAGGGCGGGTAGGGTACGCGACGGGCGAGAAGGGGACCGAGCGGCGCAAATGGAGGGCGCCACGGGCGGGAGCGAGGATCAAGCGAGTGACCGGCGGCGCCCCTGTTGGTGGGCCCCGGCGTCCATAAGGCTATCCTATCCGCTCCCCTGACATCATCGCAGTTTATAAAAAAATCATGCATCGCCGCAACTGGGCTCCGTCGCGCCTCCCGCCGGCCTTCCTTTCCACCGCCACTGCACTCGCACCACCGCGGCGTGCTCCCACATGACCGCACATCCGCTGCCGCCTTGCTACGCAAGGCCACATCCACCCGTATGCTGCGGTCGCCTCCACCGCGGGCGTCGCTCACCGGGGGCAGCGCAATCGCCTGCCCACTGCCATCCTCCTTCTCATCACATCGCATAGCTGGATTCCGTTGTGCCGTGCTCCACCCACCCGTCTGGCAGGTTTTTGCTGAAAGCGCATGTCGCAATCATAAGTTTCAAGTGTTTCATATGTTTTAGAGGTATCTTGTAAGTGTTTTAGATGGATGTTGTAAAAGTAGATCGAGATATTATATAGTATGTTGCAATGGTTGTACACGTATGTTGCAAAAGTTTGTTACCAATGTTTCATCTATGCTTTCGGACGTACGTTGCAAGTGTGTTTATCTAGATGTTGCATATGTTTCACACATATGTTGAAATTATTTTATCTAGATGGTGTGTATGTTTGCAATGGTTTTTCAAGTGTTTTCAGGTGTTTTTATAAGCGTTTTAGAAGCATGTTTTCAACTGTTTCATCTGTTTTTTTTTATGTTGTAAGTGTTGCATCTGAATGTTTCATAAAGTAGATCGAGCGAGTACAACGAATCTCCATTTGGTCGATGTAGATCATATTTTCTGGCGGTGTTTCTGACTCCACGACGGTTAGTTGGGGCGGGCAGACCACGCCCTGCAGCAGTGGTCAGCAGCAGCTTGAGGCAGCTCTCGGACGGATGCCTTCGGACGACGCAGTCCCCGTAGAATGGCGTGGGAAGCGGGCTGTAGACATGGGCATCCGGACGTCCACCTTTTGAGAGTTTAGCGCTTCGATTCAAATTCACTGCCTTCCACTTCCGGTCTTCCTATGATGTGACGATTGGACCGTAAACAGTGTAACCATAAATCCTTGCTGCTGATCCGGATTTGTGGCTTTGTTGATAACAGTTCCCTGGATTTTCGTCCAAATTAAAGGCCACATATACACTAGCACCAATTCGAAGGACCTAGATTCGGTGCAGTAGTAACTACTAGGACAACATAAGCAGTAGCAGCATCTCAGCCATCCAAGGATCACCGATGGCTAGGATCAGAGCCCCTTTTCTTTCTCATTTTTTCTCCAACATGTGCTATCGGTTTCTCTTTTTTGAGGGAAAGAACGGTGAGCATAGAAGAGTTGACGCTATTTTCCCTAGGAGGATTGCTCATCACGTGTGAGTCATCAACAGCACCAGACTCAAGTATGAAAAGTACAAAATTATACTATTACGGAGCATATATGTTGAAAATTACGAAAATATATCTGGAACCACTAAATCTCAAAAACATATATCTAATATTAAAGAGCCAAAATCTCACATCCAATTTTTTTTCCATTCAATCTTACCGAACCGTTCAACCCAAAAAAGTTTGTGAATTTCAGAAAACGCCTATTCACCCCCTCTAGGCATTTCGATCATTTCAAATAATTTCTCAACATATATGCTTAAATGAAAATAAAATTATTTTTTCCTATGTGATTTTTACCAAAAGTTGTTTTCTAGTGGAACAATTTTCAAAAATCATTCTAATAGTAGACGACTTTGTATTACTAGCAAACATGTCAGTGCACCAGAAGAACACAGAGGCGTCAGCTTCTCAAAAGAACGTAGCAATAGGACCTGGGAGGAGGTGGCGCAGACTGCTCCATCTGAGCGCTGGCGCTGCATGCGGGACTGGAGCAGCGACAACGCTGCACGTGAGACGGAAAAAGCGGTGGCGCTGCGCGCGGGACAAGAGCTGCGGCGGTGCAGCGTGTGGGACGGCGGCGCAGGATAGAAGCAACGGCGGTGTAGGACGCGATGCAACAGCGCCAGAAGACGGACACTTTTTTATTAGAGCGACGTGAGGTGGAGAGACGTGAGCTGAGTTGAACGCGAGCGAGTGGGCCGAATTGTTCGGTCAGATTGAACGGAAAAAAATGGAGGCAGGATTTTGGCTCTTTAATATTAGTTATATGTTTTTGAAATTTAGTGGTTCCAGATATATTTTTGTAATTTTCAACATATATGCTCCGTAATAGTATATTTTTGTAATTTTCGTACTTGAGTCTGGCGCTGTTGGTGACTCACTAGTGATGAGCAATGCTCCAAAAAAATAGCGTCAACTCTTCTGTGCTCAGTTCTTTCCCTTAAAAAAGAGAGACCGACAGTACATAGTGGACAAAAAAGAAAAAAAAAAAAAAAAATGGGCTCTGATCCTAGCCATCGGTGGCCCCTTGGATGGCTGAGATGCTGCTACTGCTTATCTTACGGTAGTAGTTACTGCTGTATTGGATCCAGGTCCCAATTCGAATAAGACTCTAGGTATAATCCTATAAGTTTATTCTTTCCATTCCACTTTGTTTATAAATCATAACAATGACATGTTTATGTGCTTCCTTAACAGCTAAATACAACCATTTTTTATGTTAACGGTATAAGTTCAAAACAATTGAACTCACAGGAAATCAGATTATCCATCCACCCTCCTCTGACAATCTCAATCTCTGATTCCACTGAATGTAACAGGTTAGTTGCCTTCTTTTATTATTTTAGGGGCATTACAGGTTGGCTGCCTTAACCACATGTGCAAAACAAATGTAACATATGTGCAAAACAAATGTAACATCTAGATAAAACACTTGCAACATGTATGTGAAACATATGCAACATCCATATAAAACACTTGCAACATCCAGATAAAACACTTGCTACAACATACATCTGAAATAGATGAAATATTTTGAACAAACGCTTGTAGCATACATCTGAAAACTTGCAAAATATGCAACATTCCGATCTATTTTTGCAACATCCATATGTAACAATTGCAATATATCTCTAAAACATATGAAACACTTGAAACATACATTTGCAATATAGGGGAGGGGAAGACCGGGCCGGTCGATTCCGGTCGTCGGGGTGGGATCCAGTGGTGAGCGGCGGCAATACCAGTTCTTTGGGAACCTTACCTATATAAGCACGGTGTAAATTATGGCTCCGTTCGTTTGTCTTATGAGCCGTACTATTTCAGCGAATAAACAATATTTTTCTCTCACAACATATCAACGAACAGTACTTTTAATAATGACTTTTCAGCAAAACGAACATGACCGAATGACTTTATTTAAGAAAACAATGGTAAAGCATACGCCATTTTGGGCAAGGGCAAGGCCCATATGGCCTGCAGCACTCCCTATCGTATCTCTGTCTTCCCTATCCCTTCGAGATCGCCAAAGACTGCATAAGTCCACCACGCCTGCCCGTGCCCTGTGGTGCATTCGTATCACTGCATGCTTCGTCCGCATGGCGCTTTGCCTCTCGCACGCCACGCTCCCCGCTCTCCAGAGCTCCCACTCACTACCAGCAAAGTGCCTGCGCCACCGCTCGTGGTGCGCTCCGATGGTGAAGCTCACGCGGCGGTGTGCTCCGATGGTGAAGCTCGACGCCGACGTCGCCTCCTGCGTAGCTGAACGAGGAGCGTGCAGAGGAGGGCATCAGTGTCTTTGCTTCACGACCGTCGGTCGGAGCCACGATGGCTCCTTCTTTCCAGTGAGCTCCGTCTCCTGCAATAGCTCCTGTTTGGTATGGCAACCATAAGCAAAGGCCTATTTGGTAAGAGACTAAAATATGCCAAAGGTTAGTTATGTTATAGTTTTTTTCGGTAGCGGTTTGTTTCATTGTTGTAGTTATGGTATGCCGAATTTTTCTATCACCATGCCTCACATGTCATAAACTTATTTTCGTATCATAACTTATCATCTACCTTGCTCATTCATTTGGTTGGTTTCAAATAAATAAAACCAAATAATCAACAAAGTGTTTTCCTCTCACAAAAACCAAAGACCAAACAAAAATCAAAATTAAGCACCAAGACCAACCAAAGAACAAGCCCCATAAGTTTGACTTCGATTTTGCTTACGGCATCTTCTTTCTTTGACAACCATAATTCACTGAAAGTTAGGCGTGGTCGCCAAACAGGCCCTTAACAACGCACATCACGCTTGACATGTTGTTAGTCACGCGTTGTACATGCCCTGACAGAACGGCCACTCCGCCAAAAGAAACAGCTTGGGCCCACATGTCATGGAGGGAATTGTGGGCCTCTGGACTTAGCCTCTCTATTCCAACCCGTCTTCCTCGTCTTCATCTCCATCGCCGTCTCGGTTTGGGGGAAGCCGGGGCTGGATTAGCGAGAGCTCGAGAACACTGGACACCGGCTCGCTGTTGATGGCGGAGGCGGAGAGGCAGCTGGTCGTTGTCGTCGAGGGGACGGCAGCCTTAGGGCCCTACTGGTCCACCATTGTGACCGACTACGTCGAGAAGATCACGCGGTACGGCGGCGCCCCTCTTCGCTCGGGTTTAGGTGGATCGCTGAGGGTGAAATTGGGTGCTGGGGTTTCGTGGATGCTTGTGTGTTTGTAGGACGATTTAAGCTCTCTTGATTTCGACTTTTTCTTTTTGAATTATTATTTTGCTTCAGAACTGCAATCACGGTGAGATTTATGTGAGGGAGCTACGGACGGAGGACCCCGACCCCGACCAGCTTCTCCCCGTCCTCGTCCCCGCGCCGAACCCAACTCCGGCCATATCCGCCCCATCCCCTTCCTCCCACTGCCATCAACCACCAGATCCGAATCCCCTGCCGCCCGATCTACACATTGATGGGTCTCACCCACCCCCACTCCCCCAGCCCACCATTAACGCCGGTCGGCAGTCGCCAGCTCCGTCGCCGGTGTCCTCGCCTGAAGATAAGGACAGCCAGATTCCGGCAAGCCCCACAGAGATAGACCAAGAGATTCAGGAGCAAGCCTGGGCGTTGCTACCGGACCTGGCAAGAGATTTGTGCAAGCTCAAGAATCCGTGCTCAGGGACAGAGGCGTGCAGTCTTGACATCAATCCTCGATCCGGCCTCACCGAGAAGACTGTCAATGAAAGCGCTCAAGCAAAAACCAAGGAGCCCCAAGAAGGTACGGCTATTGATTCCGGGCTCCCCATTTCCAGAACTCCAGAGACCCAAGAACGGAAACAAGCGCAGGGCACAGCGGGCATTCATGGCAGCCAGGAGACGGCCAGGGGCGAGCAGACCATCTCTTCAACGGCGTTCTCGAAGCAATCTCCCAACCCCCGCTCGGAACCTAGCGACATTGAAGACAATCTCCTCCGTTGCAGGTTCCCGGCGAGCCAAAAGGGGAAACAAGTGCTGGCCACGGATGGCATTCATGGCGGCCAAACTACGGGCTCCGACAGGCAGCCTACTTCTTCAGCGTCCGCAGTGAAGACAGTTCCCAGCGGCCCTTCTGATCCGTCAGGCACGCGTCTGCAGGCTCATCAATTCAACACAGTTATCAGTGAGAAGGGATGGGAGCCGGCCAAGTCCTACCGACGGAAGCGAACAGATTCAAATCCGGCGACCGCTCAAACCTCGAATCCAACAAGAGACAGGTCTGTGGGCTCAGCATTCGTCAAGAGCAAGATGGAAGGCAGATGCTTTAATTGCTTTTCACCAAAACATATCGCGCGCCTCTGTACCTCTTCGCCGAGATGCTGGAAATGTTTCCATTCAGGACACCGTGCGGATGGTTGCAACCCCAACCGGCAAGTTCGACATGTTAAAAGCCTTGTCCCCAGCGAGCGTAGCAGCCATTCAAACACCACCAAGTTCAGCTTTCCTCCAGAATACTATAAGTCCGCCCGGTCAAGAAGGGATGGCGGCTGCAAGGTACCCCGGGGACCCGAGAGCTAGGCCCGCCCGCGGCTTCTGTGCCGTCTCGGCGACGGGCTCCATCCGGCGCCGCTGCGACGAGCTCATCAACAAGGCTGCTGTTTGCTGGCTCAACGGCAACAGCCACGACACGGAGTCTTACCACCTCGGCGACGCCCTCCGCAGTCGGCTGAACCTGGGCCACGACGACTTCTAGGTGGTCAAGCACTTCCCTGAGCAGTACCTCGTCATCTTCTTCGATCCGGCGATCAGGCGTCATCTGGTGAACCTGGGAGTCCTGTCAGACAGGAGCAGGGACTTCCACTTCGTCGAGTGGAGCGAGCACCGCTACGCCAACAATGTCAGCTGGGAGTACCGCGTCAAGGTACGCATTGAGGGCATCCCCGTGCACTGCTGGGCGGAGGATGTCGCTGCCAAGGCGCTGGGCAAGAGTTGTGCAGTGCACTATGTGGAGGAGACGACCCGGCGTAGAAAGCGCACCAGGTCCTTTGATCTTTGGGCCTGGTGCTGCGATCCCTGCGACATCCCGACGGAGGTTTGCTCACGGGGACTGAGCCAGACAGGGAGCTGCCACCGACCACCATCCCGCTCCCCTTGGCGCCGCCTCACCACGACGACCCGTCGACCTCAAGCGCGGCCATGTCTACGTTCTGCGCAACCACCTTGAGGTAGTGGAAGACCTCTCCTTTCTGCAGGCGGCCCTCCGAACCGTAAGGCCCGCAGAGAGTTCATCTGGAGCTACGGGGTGCTAGACACCGAGGGCGAGCACCACCACGACAGACGTGGCAACAACCGTGGCCGCGACCTCAGGTGCCAACCACGGAGGGATGATGACGACTATGATTACAGGCGCCACCATGGCACTCGACGCCATCGCAGCCTCTCAAGCTGGGCCAGGAACGCACGCTGCAGGGGTGGAGTTGAAGACTGCATCAGTTCGAACAGATGGCGTGGCCGCAGAGAGTCTCCCCCGCGCAGAAGCAGGGTGGCTCAAGAACACTATAAGGCTCCAACTCAGGTATGGATGGTGAAGGCACGCAAAGTGAAGAAAGTCAAGAGGGTGTCCTTTGCAAATCCAATAGCATCGGAGCTGAAGCCCCCCAAGAGGTCTATTCCTGATGATAGCATCATGCTGATTAAGGGTAACCCATGCTCTGAATTGCAATACTGTTCTCCTGACCCTGTTGTCCCTGAATCCAGCATGCCTAACCCATCCTTTCCAGTGGCTACAAACAACACCCTGGAGCACACCAAGACTCCGGGAATGGGTGAAGTCATCTTTGGAGCCAACATCGTACACAACGACGACATCATTCCAAATCGCAAAGACCTTTGGAGAAGGAGCAAGTGGTGCGACGTCATCACCAACTCATGCATGGGTCTCAGTGGATCACCTTCACGGCATGGTGGTGAGCTCTCCCTCAGACAAACCGCCTTGAACTTACAGCTTCCTTGCAAGCACAAAGTAGTTTAGATCCTCCTACTATGTCGATTTGAAAGCCAATCTCTGTCACCGAGACATCCACATTTGCTCGAGACTAGTCAAAACACGTATACAATACCTATGCCACACGAGCCCACATCTCACGCACATCCAAAGCAAGATTATGTCAACCGATCTATTTCCATTGATGATCGGTCTAGCCGAGAGTTAAACAATAACAACTCGAAAACAACTTTACAATCGATTGACAGCTTCTTAGATACAATTTGAAACCCATTATGCAACCTTTATTAGCGGGGGTGGGGCACACACCATTCACTCACACCAAGAGCACCACAAATAAGAGTTGGCATATCACCCACCACCAAATTCAAGTAAAAGAAAAAACACTAGACTAGCAAAGAAAGTCACGCACATTCGGGCAAAGATGCGATTCAGATTGCCCAAGAATTGTTAGTAAAGAAGGTAGGGGAACTGTCGGGTGAGGACACTACTCAAGATACCCTTGACATCGATTTTTATATGCGGCACTTTGACCACCAATCGAAAGTGCCAAGATGGAGGCCATCAAGATGCTCATTGAGCAGAAGCCAAGAAGCGTAAGACAAGCGCCATCCGTAAGAAGGTCGCCGTGGCTCCGCCATGGAGGCTTAGGCGCCGGTCATGAGGGGATCAAGTAATCAATGTTAACCCCTTCAGTAGGGGTTTAGGGCGATCACCCTCTATATATCGTAGGTTTCGTCATATTAGTAGAGCCTCGTGGCTTCTTCTTCTGGCCGTCATGCCCATGTTCGAACCTTTGAGACTTACGTGGTCGTGACGCTCACCGGGCCATGGAGCCTTCCGGCCACTGCGCTGGCCGGCCTCATTGCCTTTGGCCCTGGATTAGTAAGCACAAGATCGAGAACTTGGGGAAGGACTTTGGCCTGCTGGCTCTGTTGCCTTCGGCCATCCCCGGGTTGCTTGGAGATCAACGTAGGTCTTCCTTCGATGGACAAGTCGGGTTATCGATGTCGATTGTTGTTTTGATTAATTATGTCAACCAAAAACTGTAACATCATCTGCTTTGGAATGTGAGGGGTTGAACGATGGAGCAAAACGAGCGACGATGCGTAATCGATCTTATCCACAAAAAGCGACGCTTGGCTGCCTGCACAAGAAACAAAAATCACCGCTTGGAACCAAACTCTTTTGACAGAGACAGTAGGAGCGGATATGGCGAACAACGCCGCTTTGTCTTCCATCAATAGGGGCTTTGGCAGTATCCTCGATCATGGCGTCGAGCGCTTCTTCAGATTCAAAAAACAAGCTTAACGCCAAACACACACCATCGCAATCGGTCACCATGCTCGCAGAGAATACATCCCGGTCCATTATCGAGTCTACGGCCCCCAGTGCCGATGCGTATAAAATCGCTTTTATGCAAGAAATCTTGGACCAAGGCAAAGATGTCCTTCCAAAGATGGCTACTTTGCTAGGGGATTTTAACTTAATTTACCAAGCACAAGACAAAAACAATGCACGCATCAATTTGTCAATGCTCAATAACTTCAAGTACACCATTGATAATCTAGGGCTTGCACCGATTGACCTACAAGGCAAAAGATTCACTTGGTGTAACGATTAGCAGACACCCACAATGACCAAAATAGATCACATGTTCGCTTCAACAGAGTGGTTGGAGATCTTCCCAAGAACCGACCTTCAAGCATTAGCTTCGCTGGGCTCCGATCACTGCCTACTCTTTCTTCAGGAGGATGTCGTTTTGGATTTCTATAGGGGTTTCAGATTTGAGGCGCATTGGGCACATATGCCAGGTTTCACTGAAACGGTACATGAAGCATGGAATAGAGCGGTAAATACACAAGATGACATCTTGCGCATTCACGTCAAACTAATACGTACAACAAAAGCGCTCAAGAACTGGAGGAGGAAATCTCTGGGCGGGCACAAGATTACTTGGGCAATTCTCAACATAACACTGGCCAATCTCGAGAGGGCTTAAGAGTCCAGAATTCTGACACTAGAGGAGTTAGAATTCAAGAAATACCTCAAGACAAAGGCACTAGGGATAGCAGCGATACAAAAGGCGAGAGCTCGACAACACTCGAGGCTTACTTGGATTCGCAAAGGTGACGAACAACACGCGTTTCTTCCAATTGCATGCTAACATAAGGAGAAAGAAAACATTTATTGGTGCACTCAAGGGAGATACGAGCCTGGTGGTCTCGCAAGAGAATAAATCCATGCTCGCACATACACATTTCTCAAACATGTTGGGGACAACAACCACAAGAACAAGAGCTATTAATTGGAGCGAGTTGGGATATGAACATCATGATCTAGAGGATTTGGACGCACCCTTCACAGAACAAGAGATAGAGGCTGTAGTGAAAGACATGCCTTACGAAAAAGGCACCGGGTCCCACGACGGCTTCATCGGTGTGTTCTACAAAAATGTTTGGTCAATTATAAAAGAGGACTTGGTCCAGCGGTCATGAGTTTTTACACTCACCGGACTGCGAGATTAAACTTAATTAACGAAGCAAATATCATCGTGTTGCCCAAAATACAAGATGCAGCATCTCTATCAGATTACAGGCCCATTAGTCTGATCAACAGTGTAGTCAAAATCATCACGAAAATCCTAGCAAATAGATTGGCACCACACTTGAACTCTTTAGTGTCACATGCTCAAAACGTCTTCATCAAGAAGAGATGTATCCATGACAATTTCATTTACACGCAGAGAGTGATTCAACTGTTGCATAAAAAGAGAAGGTCGGTGTTGTTCATCAAATTGGACATTTCCAGAGCTTTCGATTCCATAGGTTGGAGCTTTCTGCTAGAGGTGCTACAGGCTTTGGGCTTTAGCACAAAATGGAGGCATTGGACAGCGGCCCTACTTGGAACAACAACATCAAAAGTATTGATCAACGGGGAGCCGACCCAGGGTATCAGACACGCACGGGGGTTAAGGCAAGGGGATTCTCTATCCCCCCTTTTATTCATTCTAGCCATCGACCCACTACAACGGATAATTGAAGCGGCAGCACAAAGAGGGATTCTTAAACTGGTGCTACCGAAGACAGCTAATTTGAGGTGCTCCCTATATACTGACGATGCAGCGATTTTTGCATACCCTGCAAATACAGAGTTGTTTCATCTACTCAAGATACTAAACTTCTTTGGAGAATGCTCGGGGCTAAAAATCAACATCTCCAAAATGGAAATTTTCCCTATAAGAGTGGACAACACAGTGGTCTCTCAATTACTTCAAAATTTCCCCGGCAAGATTTGCAGTTTCCCTAGGAGATATCTAGGACTTCCTCTACACGTCTGGAAACTATGCAGGGTAGAGGTACAACCTTTGATAGACAAAATAGGAGCTAGACTGCCAAGTTGGAAGGGCAGGCTCTTGTCCTCAGCGGGGAGAGAGATTCTAGTAAAAACGGTTCTATCATCTCAACCAATTTATCATATGACCGCATTCCCAGAACAAAAATGGTTAATCAGAAAGATCGATCGCTTAAGAAGGAGTTTCCTATGGAGGGGAGAAACGCCAGACAAGGTATATGGTGGGCATTCCATTATCATCTGGCCAACAACATGTAGACCCAAAGCGAAAGGTGGTTTAGGGGTTCTGGACCTTGAACGTTTCACAAGAGCATTGAGACTACGATGGTTATGGTATCAATGGAAGCACCGAGATAGAGCTTGGAACAAGCTTGACCTTCCGGTAGATGGCCGGGACAAGGAGTTATTTGCGGCTTCGACAGTGGTGACAGTAGGTGATGGCAAGTTGGCCAGGTTCTGGACGTCGTCTTGGGTCGGTGGGCGAACACTGAAAGCGATTGCACCAACATTGTTCAAGAAATCAAAAAGGAAAAATCTCACGGTGCAAAAGGCCTTGGAAGATAACCGCTGGATATCACATGTCATTCCATTAGGCACTACACAGGAAATAAGAGAATACGTAACCCTTTGGGAAGAGGTGAGCCAAATCCAGCTAATCGAGAATATAGAGGACAACATCCGTTGGCGTTGGACGATGGATGGGGAATACACAGCCAAAAGCGCCTACTGCATTCAATTCCAGGGCACATTCAGCAAACTGAAACTTTAACCGATTTGGAAAGCAAAGGCGGAACCCAAATGTAGATTTTTTGCTTGGACTTTGCTGCATAAAAAAATCCTAACGGCAAACAATTTGATTAAAAGAAATTGGTCAAATGATCCAGTATGCAAGCTTTGTGGTATTGACCCGGAAACACCGATACATCTTTGCAAGGACTGCACTTTCTCAAGGCAAGTTTGGTCCTTCATCAAGCAATGGTTCAGCCTATCGGTGATTGATACTGTCTGGCGAAAGTGCAGAATTAAGATAGACAAAGATCAGAGCAAGGCGTTTGATGGCATTATGATCTATTTTTGGTGGAATTTATGGAAGGAAAGGAATCGAAGAACATTTCAGAACAAGTCGTTGCAGCCTAGTCAGGTGGCACTCCTTTGCAAGGAAGATATAGAGCAATACCAGTTGGCAACAAGATTTCATGCTGGACCACAACAGGAGTAGTTCTAGCATTTGTTGGTCACTGTTCGGTTGGTCTAGTTTTGTGGTTTTTCGGTTTCAGGGTGTTTTTCTAGACTTTAAGTTGTCGTCCAGGTGGGCATCTAGTTGGGTTGTCGGCCGCTGTGCCGTGGTGGCTGTGAGCTTGGTCTCCCGTTGTTTGTTGTAATTCTTTTTTCTTGTTCCTTTTTGCTCGTCTAATAAAAATCTAGCAAATCTCTTGCCGCCTTTCTAAAAAAATATTTTGCTTCAGAGCTTCAGATTGACGACTCTGTCGAAGGACTGACTACTGAGGCGTCTGTGTTAGTGTTTTGTTTGACGACGAAGCATCCACTTTCTAATTGTCGATCAGGCTCAGGCCCACTAAGCGGCAATCCTTTTTAATAAACCCCTATCTGATAGCATGCTATGAATCTCGGTCAATGTTTGAAAATCAAGTTCAGTGCTACCATCACAGTTCATTTCTCACACCATTGTGCTGAACTTTTGCATTTTAGTATGACTGATTAATTGAGAAAATTCAAATTTGCGCAGGAGCTTTTGTGCAAATGAAGTGCCAGGGAAGGTAATTGTGTCCTGACGCTGAACCATTTATCATCCGAGTTCTCAGTTTGTGCATTCTATTCCATGAATTGTTTCAGTGTGTAACTTATTCTTCATTTGTGCAGAGTCTTGCAGGGGCACCACCTGAGCTTGCATTAATTGTTTTTCATGCCCATGGACCTTTCAACGGTATGCCTTACATGCCTGTGGCAATATAGTTTATTGTGCATTCAACCAAATGTGCGATTTGTAAACATTTTTGCAATGTAGCTTTTTGTGTGCAGCGAAGTGGATGGACAAAAGATATTGATGCTTTCCTATCATGGTTATCTGGAATATCATTTAGTGGTCGAGGATTTAGTGAAGTTCCTATCTGTGAGGGTCTTGCTGAAGCACTGATGGTATTGACCTGTTATAGTTGTTTAAAGTTTCTAGTTCCATGTGGCTAAAAGCTAGCAAGCTGGAGTTTTTTTTTAACCTTTCAAGATATCTTGTTGATCTTTGAGTTATGTTGTTATGAGAGCATTATGTCTGGAGCAGTTCACCCTACAATTTCATTTTGTTTTTGTTGTTGATCAGTTGTGTGTGAATAATGATCTGTTCCACTTTATGGCATATATCTATTTCTGGCTCTCTTTGAAATGATATTGTAGTCTGCACATTATTCTAATATTGTTGTTTAATTGTTTTCATAGCTGGAAATAATTCTTTGCATACATGATAGTTATTTCCAGATTTAATTTGGCCACACTATCCTCTTACTAAGCTATTTGCACAAGCTATGATTTGGCTAAATTTGAACATCGTCTCTGCACCATTTTGAATCCTGGTTATTTTCATTAAAAAAACGCCTTAATGGAAAACAGAGTCTTTTTTTGTCTTGATCAATAGAGTATGGATCATTACTCTTCACTTATTATTGATAATCTATGAACAATACCAAGAGATAAGAATGAAGTGCAATAATTATGATCACAAAGGTTTGCCTGTCAGTCTGCCGCATTGTTTCTTGGGCATCAGTCCATTTTGCTTGCAGTCATGAAACTTACATTTTGAAAATGAGATTAAACCTATGGTGACGCAGCGTGATCTTTATTTTCTTGAATATTAAAATAGTGATAATTTCTTTTCTAGTTACTGTGTTGATGCAAGCTGATGGTCATTTCCTTATGTGCAACTAGATACTTCAAGGCAGTCCTAATACAACCCAGAATAATCAAAACAATGAAGCACAAAAGCACTGCATACTTGTGGCTGCAAGTAATCCATATCCTTCGCGTACACCTGCCTACAATCTTCCTATTCAGTGTACTGATCAGAAAGAGAATATTGAATCATCAAAAGGGCATCCTGTTGCTGATGCTGAAACCGTTGCAAAATCATTTGCTCAGGTGCTGCACAAGTTCTGCCATAGCTTGTTATTGAGGTTTATTTCCTGTGTCTCAATGGAATGTCGGTAGACTTTAGTTGATTCTATATTTTTTTGGATGTAGTGTTCTGTCTCATTGTCGGTGATATCTCCAAAACAGCTTCCAGCATTGAAGGCAATATACAATGTGGTAATGTTGTCATTTGTGTTGCACATGAACCTTCTTCTGTTCCTTTTTGTCTGTTTCTTTTAGTTGTTGAGAAATTTGACCTTATAAGGCCTTCAGCAGTTGTGATGAATGCACACATAATACTGGTTTCATATTCTGCTGCAGGGCAAGCAAAATCCTCGAGATGCTGATCCACCAGTTGATCATGCAAAAAACCCAGACTTCCTTGTGTTGCTATCTGAGAATTTCATGGTGGCACGGACTGCTCTAAGTCATTCTTTACATGGGAACGTGGCCCCAAATCAAACCATAACGAAGTTCGACAGTGCACCTGCAGTTACTATGCCAGGACCAACTTCAAATGCCAACCCCTCAGGTTGAAGAGAACTTAATGTTAGGCATAAGAAGATCCTGTCTTGGTTCTGCCTTTGTAGAAAGAAAATGTTTTTGGTGTTATGTTTGTGCATGGAAGGGATTTAGGGAGAGGTTTGTGAAAGTGTCTTAGGTGTTTACACCTAGTTTAGTGACAAATGGCTTAACAAACACTACTTTCGGTTTGACTAAAAATGACAAGTGGATTCATTATGGACATGTCCCTTAGGCTGGCATGCCTAAAATATGACAGAAAAAGTCATGGCTATCAATATTTTGGGGTGGGGGACTTGGTGACTATTTTATAGCAGGCACAGTTATATGCCATTACATGATCCAGTTTTTCATAAGTTTTTGAGTGCTATATTTCTAGCAGCCACTGAATAATATGTCTCTGTCAGTGTGAATGAATTTTTTGCTCAGATACCAGAAATAGGACATAGATGGCCAAGCCCAAGCACCATAATTTGTTAATAGGAAAGATGTACAAAGCTAATTATTTGTGTTATTCAGAGTTCGACGTTGGTCAGACATTAGTTTAAATCAGCTATACATGAATTACTTCATATGGAGAAGCAGTTTTTGCAGGATTTTGTCATAATTAACAGTGAGATTGATATTTGGTGGGGATTACACACATTAACTTGTATTCATGCATATACATGTTTATACTCCTCTACATATGAAATTTTAGTATATATGGAAGGTTGCATCCTTCCATATCCCGTGAAATTTTAGTAGTTGTGCAAGAACACAAACCTGTAAAAAATCATATTCAGCAGCCAGTATGGCCTGGTGGTCATGGCTGCCTGAACAATCTGTCACAGGTTAGGCTTATGAACTCAACTTGTTTAGGAGGAACTACCATGATGGGACTGCCTAAAATAGGGGAAACACCACTACAAGTCCACGTGTCAAACACAGGAGTTGATTCCCTAGGTGTGACTAACAATTCTGCCATGAATATGCCTATTGAGAAGCATCCAAATGCCCAACAGCCGCCACCAAAGTATGTCAAAATTTGGGAGGTAAGGATTTCCTCTTGTATTTAGTGCTTACATATACATGCCCAACTTAGACATGGGTTTCTAGATTTTTAGAACTTTGTACTAAAATGTTAAGTGCAGTGTAGAGCATTTGACTAGTAGGAGCCTTCTTAAGTTTATTATCCTCTTAGGGACTACTCACCATGTTACTATAGTGTATAAAATGTAAAAAAAATTGTTCCACTTTTAGTTTATTGGAAGGACATAAAAGTGGATCTGTAGTAGCCTGTACTTGTGTTAATACGCTGAGTTCACTGAAAGTGAAACCATATATTCTATGATCAATTGTAACATCAATTTTGTGATTACTTATTAGTCAATACATTGTCATAGTTCTAAACACTGGATATACCCCCTCCTTGCCCTCCAAATTTCATCATACAATTTTTAGATCATTTTCCATTATGTAAATTTGAACTTATATTGCATAATATGTATTATGTTGTATGTTTTCCATATTAGTTTTGAACAACTGATGTTCGCTATCTATCAGGGAACTTTATCTGGGGTAAGGTATGGACGTCCTGTATTTATTTGCAAACTCGAAGTAAGTCTCTATTTGCATTATTGTGCTCACAAACATTATGCAGCATTTTGTGGAATTTATTAAAGATTCACTAACTTTTTTTTTAATCTGCAATTACTAGCTGAATGCATGATTCCTGATATATGGTTGCACTTTTATGATCTTTCATGTCCGTATGAAATCGCAAGGAAAATATCTTTTCCCTTGAAAAGCTTGTGCAACTAAATCTTGTGTTATCTTGACCTATTTTCTTGCTAAGACTATTAATGATGATAAATTGGCTTGGAATAAATTCCTGAACATTGTCATGATTGCTTAAACTTGAAGGAGAAAAAATAATCCCCTTAAAACAGATTGCATCAGTTGCTGCCAATGCTAATTTGTAGCCATGGTTCCCTTCCACCTTCAATGCTGGAACCTAATGCTCAGTCTGTCTGTATTTTGTGTTCTGCAATCTTGCTATGTTTTTTCTTACTATTCATAGTATGAAGACATTTATTCACAGGATATGTTTTGTCTTTCTGTTAATTCTCACCTTAGCATATGTCTGACAGGGTTATAGGAGAAGAGCAGCGGCTGAAACGTAAGTGTTTGATTATTGTGATAATCCTTTCATTTCCTTGAATCTTTATACCTCATTAGCATTTTTTATTGATTCTTTCCATCAGTAGTTCTTGTCATTATCTGAAGTTGTTGTCTTTTTCTTAAAAGAAATGACTCATACTAGATTTTTTCATTTCTGAGTATGTACCACATTGAGGGTTCTGTAATCCACTACGCCATGTACAGTAGGCATGATGCATTCTACTAAAGAGCATTGTGCATTTACTTTGCAATATATTGTATCTTTCTTTCATGGAACTATTTTTTTTTTAATTGTGCTTCCGGACTAAGTAGGAAACCAAAAACCATACTTTTCTGTATGCAGACTTGCAGCAGACTGGCCGGAAACTCTGGAGATTGCTCACATCATAGACCGGGAGCATATGAACAAGTTTTGTTTCCCAAACGCATTCATTTCGATGTGAACTTGTTGCATTATCACATTTTCGATGGAATGTGCTGTGAATGATATCTTTTCTGGTCATTCTGCAGGAACAATTGTCAAAGGACAGAAGTTCTAGTATTCCGGGCTTTAAACCAGCATGGGTTTCTTGGACGACTAAAAGAGAATGAGCTGGTCAGTGATTTGTTCTAATCTTTTAGCGCCTGTAGTATTCAGCTTTGGTTCACCTACGTTGTTCCCTACATCTATTTTTTCAGTCGTTTTGTACACCTGTAATAATGTCTAATATGTCCTCTGTTTCAGTGTGCTGTGATACGATTGCCTTCACAAGCTCTTCTGCTGTCAGTGTCTGATAAAGTGGGCCGCCTAATTGGCCGGCTCTTACCTGGGGTAATCTTCATTGCAGCTATACACTTTCAATTCCTGACCGTAGATCAACGGAATCATCTGCATTTACTGAATATTTCCCTTTTCTCCCCCCCAGGACATGATGGTTTGGAAACCACCGGTCTCCATCAGCCGGTCTCAGATCATCAGCCAACAATGCAGCAGCATCAGGCACGGCAGCAACAGTTGCAGGAGCTGCAGCATCAGTCGCAGCTAGAACAACAATTGGTAAAGCAGCTGCAACAAGAGTTACAGCGGCAGCTACAGCAGCACATGCATCTGCAGCCGCAAGGCCTCCTGCTTCAGCAGCCACAGATGCAACACCAGCAGCAGCAGCAGATGCCACTACAGGTCCCCAGCAATAGCAGCAGCCCCAGCAGATGATGCCAGGTAGCCTTGGGGCCTTGGGGGAGGCTTCCATTTCCTACCTTGAAACCCCTCGTCAGTATGGCTGGCATAACAAGGTGAATATATATATATGACACATTGGCCCTGAGGGTTGAGATGTCTCCTAGTGGAACCTTGGACAGTTTTAGAGAACCGTGTCACTTGTGTGGAGTTACGTTATGGATAATATAATGAAAAATGGCAACGTTATTGATGACTGTAGCTGGCTACTGCTACTCTGCTACAGTAATAATGTAGTAGTAGTACCTCTAAACTAGACCACAGTTCCTTCCGACCCTAGATGTGCAGCAGGTACTCCTCCGTTCACGGTGTACAGCTCCAGAGATTTGCATCGACCGTGTGCTAAACCTGAACACGAAGCGCATGAACGAACTAGCTAGTACAGTGGTGCTCCTACACTACATGATCTGATGATCGAGACTATGAGTGTCTCGGCACGCCGGCGCCGACACCATCGATTTGACCATTTCCATTCATCATCCTATAGCTTTCCGAGCAGCTCGGCGCTGGGCCTCTGGCGAGTGGGCCCGAGCATCCCGTACAGGCCCTTGCTGGTCGTCGTCACGGAGACGTCAGCGTGACGCACCTGCAGCGTCACCGGCACGACGACAACGGTCGCTCGCTCGCTCTGCATTCACGGTTTGTGCCCACCCACTGCGTGATCATGGTGGATTATTACTAACACGCGGCACAGGGCAGCGCACCGCACCGTCGGTCTGCTCCCTACGGTGGCAGCAAAGCGAGACTGCACAGCACGGCGTCTGCGCCACCGGCCGCCACGACCGTACCGAGTACCGACACCATCTCTCTCAGTGCCTGTTTGATGAGTGTTTAATTCTTAAAAACAATTTTTTTCCTATGGTTTCTAAAATCTGGATTCTGAGAAAAAAAAATTGGTATAGGTGTTTAGATTTATCAGTTTTTAAGAATATGGCTTCATTTATTGCTCACGTGGTCACAAAAGCTGGGTATCAACATCTTCTATGGCCCTATTCGCTTCTCTTATAATCTATCTTTTTCAGCTTGCTTTTATTTAGCTGGAACAGTGTTTTTCTCTCACAACAAATCAGCCGGAACAATATTTCGACTTGTTTTTTCAGCGAAACGAACGGGGCCTTTGTTTTTAAGAATCTAGCAAAAACTGACGTAACAAACTGAACAAAAACTAGCATTTTTGGATCCCACCTAATTTTCAAAATCAGAATTTTAGGGAGTGTTTGGCTGGAATGATTTTTCACCTGTTCATGCTGAAAACACTGTTTATGTTGGAATTTTATGAGAGAAAAATATTGTTCGGTTGAAAAAATAAACCAAACAAGCCGGCTTGTTGCTCAGCTGAACAAGCTCTTAAAAACCGGAGGCTAATCCAAACCGGACCTCACACACACATCACACATCACACGTACACTACTAGATGCTTTAATGCAACGGCTAATCCAGAAACACAGCGAGAGCCGAGGGCAGCAGCAGTAATAATAATTTATTGCGCATGCATGGTTCGTGGTTGTAACGGCTACTGGTGAGACCGTCGGGCATTGACTCTGGTAGTCTGGCTGACTAACAAAGCAGGTCATAAAACTCCAGCAGTAAGCATTACAGTATGTCCTGCGTGTCAACGATGCAAGTTGTTTTCGGTTTGCAATACTCGTCTCCTACCGTAGACAATCAGCACGGAGTAGACGAAGACCAGTATAGGTAGTAGTACAGCGGTAGGAGCTCTCAATCTAATCGTCCTGTTCGCTCGTTTGGCTGATAAACCATGGCTGAAAGTACTGTTGACTGATTTGTTGTAAGAAAAAGCATTGTTTGTTGGCTAAAAAAATACGGCTTATAAGCCAAAGCGAACATGATAATAACCTCGAGTCGCAAAGACTCGCTCTGTTCGCTTGAGCTTATTCAGAACTACTTTTCAGTCATGGAACAGTGTTTTCCTCTCACAATATTTCAACATAAGTATCAGCATAAGCCAAATTTCAGCATCAGCGAATAAGATAACTATCGGTGGTATGGAGTTGGACGATTACAGAAAATAGCACGGCCTAGCAGCAGATCACATGCATATTTGTTCCCACCACATATATACGAACGAACCGGTTTCAGTTGTCGCGTATACGGAGTACGGTCAAAGAAATAGAGTAAGCAAACCAGATAAAATAAATCAAATAATTTAGAATTGCAGATCTCACCCCTCCCTCAAATGGTTAACGGTGGGTGAATGTGAATCGGTCGCACTGCTAGAGCAAAGCGACCTCAGTGACTCCCCTCGCGTCGATGCTGTTCACCCGCCGGCCGCCGACCACCTTGCTGCCGGCTGCTGCCACCTGCCGCCTGCCGCCTGCCGCCTGCCGCGCGCACCGTCACCTGCCCACTGTACTGCGCCATGCATGCACGGCTCGGATCCCATCCATGTGACTGCCCCTGGCCCCTGCCCCTCCCAGCGAATCCCCAGCCAAGTTCCCCACCCACCCAAATGGCCAAATCTGGGCTCCTTTCCGCGCTGGACGAGAGGCTCCGACGTCCGGGACGCTCGCAGCGTCGAGTCGCCGATGCGGTGCGGTGCATCGACTCCACGGCCGATGGCCCACAACATCCGGCCATCCCATGGTACAGCGCGCGCCCGCGCGAGGGATCGATGCAGCCTGCAGCGGAGCGGTCGCTGGCGTGTGTCAGTGCGGGGGTCCGCGCCGCGGGCGGACTCGGTCGGATCGGACACGGCCACCCGGCCGCCATGGGACACGGACAGGGGCAGGGGTGATAGGACTGAAAGTATTTTTGGTCCAGATGAGTGGATAATATTTAGCTTAGATAAAAGATTTAGATAGCTAAACATAGTCGTGGCTATGGCGTCGCAACGACGTGGCCACTGGTGTCGGAGTAGAGGAACCCGTGCAGGCGTGGTTCAGTGGCGGCAGCGAATGCGATGTTGCTTCCCGTCGCTCATAGCGCGCTCTTTAGATCGGTCTAGAGTTAGGACATGGTGGGACGCTGGCAGCTACGGTGAACCTCGTATCTCGAGCCCCAACCCCCCACCTTATTTATTACGCTGCGCGACAGGGGTTCATCAGCCAGGAGAACGACTGGACACCCCCGATCAGAGTGTGGATCAAGGGCCTAATTGACTGTTGGGTCAACTAATGGAGATCAATCTAAGAGGGTGTTAGATTGCTCCTCCTAAACTTTAGTCGCTGTCCCATCGGATATTTGACACATGCATGGAGTATTAAATATAGGCTAATTACGAAACTAATTATATAGTTTACGACTAATTTAGAAGATGAATCTTTGAAGCCTAATTAGTCCATGATGTTGACAACGTGGTGCTACAGTACATATGCTAATGATAGATTAATTAGGCTTAATAAATTCGTCTCGTTGAGTACTGACGGATTCTGTAATTTATTTTTTTATTAATATCCAACATCTCATACGACATCCTCACGTGATATCTTCTAAATTTTAAATTTTAAATTTTAGTCACCGATCAAACAGCCACTAACGAGGCGAGCCCGCTGTCGCTTTCCCTCTGATCAGCTGATCTGAATCCGGGAAGTACAACGGTGGATGCTCTCCGATTAGCCAGCATTGGTGACGATTAGCCACCAGCCCAGCTCACCACCACCCAAGCTGCCCTCCGCGTCCCCCTGCTGCTGCTGCCTCCTTTCCTCTCTTCGTCAGTCGTCACGCGCGGCCACACGGGGGCGGCGGGGCGCCATGGTCACGGAAAGATTGGTTGTCCCCCTCCACCCCCTTTCTTCTTCCTCCGATATATCCCCTTTCCTTGCCCGGAACTCCTAGCGATGCAGTACTTTGCCGCCGAAAGAGCCATCAGAAAGTGCTTTGCGTCGGTATCTACCACCTCCGCAGATGTGCGTGCAGATATTCCGATCGGGGCTCATGAAAAGGTTGCCGCTTCCCATGGCGGTGCCTGCATTCCGCACATCTACGACGAATTTATTTATAAGGGGCCCTTGCCCTTGCCCAACATGGATTCCTTGTACTGTATCACAGATCTCCTCTCGCTAGGTTCATGATCGATCGTATACCGGGAAATGCTGATCTGATTGGAATACACGGGCAATATTATACAGTATAAATATTGAAACTAATTAATAAATTCATTCGGTGAGGAGGGAGGAGGAAGAAAGAATCAATACATAGCAACTCTTTGATTCAATTTGATCAAATACTCATCATCAAAGAAAAAAGAAACAAAAAAAAATACTACAGGGATGCATGGAGAAGTATTATACTGGCGGGTGAAAAGTATTATACTCCGGCGACGGCGAGGCAGCGCGAGCGGTCAATTGGCGGTTCCGTAGTACGGCTTCCCCGGCGGCGGCGGCGACGCGTACGACACGCTGTACACCGGCGGGAACGGCAGCTTGCCGCCGCCCGGATGGTGCCCGCCGGTTCCGGTGCCGGGGCTCCCGCCCTGATGAGGCGGCGGCGAGCAATGCGAGGATGACGGCGTCCCCGAGGGGGTGGTGGGGTGCGACGAGGGCGTCCCGGTCCCCGGGGCGTGCGGCGGCAGGGCGTAGCCGGGGTGCTCCGCCGTGGGTGGCGACGACGGCGTGGCGGGGTGGTGGCCGGAGGACGGGGGCTGGTGGGACCCCGTGGAGGGAGGCGACGGCGACCCGTGGGAGTGGGATGGCGGCGTTGTGTAGCTCGGGGGCGGCGCGTACCGCACGTCCGGCTCGTCCGCGGACGTCGGCGGCGGCGGCGCGCGTGTCGTTACTGGAGGAGTTGTGGAGCCGGACGGCGGCGAGTGGTAGGATGGCGTGCTGGAGCTTGAGGGTGGCGTCGGGTACGATGGCGTGGTGGGTGACCCATGCGAAGGTGGCGAGTGGTATGACGGGGTGGTGGCGCTCGATGGCGGCGAGGGGTACGATGGCGACGGAGTGGTCGAGCCCTTAGGCGGCGACGGGGTGATGGAGCCCTTGGGTGGCGAGTGGTACGAGGGGGTGGTGGCGCTGGACGGCGGCGACGGGTAGGAAGGAGTGGGAGTAGCAGACGATGGCGGCGGGTTCCCTGCGATTCTGCCTCTGGGAGGCGACGACACCGGCGTGGGCGGCTGGCTGCCGCTCCCGCGGCCGCGGTCGCCGCGTGCGTGGCCACCGCCCGGCGTCGGGGTGTAGCCCGGAGCTGCCTGGCATTGCGCCTTGCTGCAGTCGAACGGGTGTACCGCGGCGGCCGCGCACTGCGACGGCGGGCGCTGTGCCGGCGCGCCGGGGATGCAGTTCCATGCGCCGTCGGCGGTGGCCTTGGTGCATGACGGGCGCGAGGTGAAGAAGTTGTCGGTGTAGGTGAAGTTCCTGAGGCTGGCGAGCGCGCAGACTCCCGCCGGCACGGCGCCCTCGAGGCGGTTGCGTGCGACGTCGAGCTCTTCGACAGCAGCCATGTTAGCGATGGCGGCCGGGAGCTGGCCCTGCAGGTGGTTGTCGCTGACGTCGAAGACGGTGAGCTTCCGGAGCAGGCCGACCTGCGGCGGGACGCATCCCGTGAGCTCGTCGGCGATGAGCACGATCTCGTTGAGCGTGTCGGCCATCCGTCCGATGCTGGGCGGGATGCACCCGCCGAGGCGGTTGTGCGCGAGCACGACGACGGAGGCCGGGGAGTTCCCGAGGTTGGCCGGGATCGGGTTGCGGAGGCGGTTGGAGTTGAGGAAGATGGCGTCGAGCGGGCGGTCGAAGAGCTGCGGCGGGATGCTGCCCTCGAAGTCGTTGAAGCGGAGGTCCAGGTACCGCAGCGCCGGCAGCGACAGCACCACCTCCGGGAACCCGCCCACGAAGCGGTTGTTGCTGAGGTCGAGCTCGTGGAGGAGGTGGAGGTGGGAGAATGTGGTCGGGACGACGCCGCAGAAGCGGTTGGAGTTGATGTGGAACAGCGCCAGGTCGGGCACGCCCAGCGGCAGCGACGCCGGGAGGTACCCCGCGATGTCGGCGTGGTTGAGGTCGATCCCGGCGACCACGACTTCGTGGGAGCTGCCGGGGAGGGGCGCGCAGTAGACGCCGTTGTAGGCGCAGACGTTGAGCCCCACCCAGTTGGCGGTGAAGTTTGAGGGGTCGGAGAAGATGGCGGTGCGCTTCCACGCCTGCAGCGCGGCGTAGGACGCGCGCAGCCGCGGGTTCGGGAACGCCCACGACGGCGGCGCGTCGAAGCGGGACGCGAGCGAGGACGCGTACGACTCGGAGATGGCGTCCCCGCCCTCCTGCGCCGACGCCGCCGGGGCGGCGAGCAGCAGCAGCAGCGCGAGCGCCGCCGCGCTGCGGAGGATCATGGCTCTGACTCGGAGGAGCGGAGCGTCTGGTGGTGGTCGGCGCGGTGCGTTCCGGCCGGAGGAGAGGCTGGGAATGCGGGCGGGACAGCGGGGCTCGTGTGATCTAGAGAGAGAGAGAGAGAGAGGGCTGTGGCATTCAGAGCGGGCACATGGGGTTGGGAGGGGCTGTGTGTGTGTGATTGATGAATGAAGGCAAGCGCATCGCAGGCTCGTCGTCACAGGCTCACAACACAGTCACATGGGGGCCAGCTGCACACCCTCGCTGATTAGTCATCAGTGTGTGTGTGCTGGGTGTGTGACGGTGGTGTCTCTTTGCGCCTGCGCCTGCGCCTGCGCCTGCGAGCGAGCTTCGTCACGGTCACGGAGGAGGCGGCCTGGGCGGGGAGACGGCGGCGACGCGGCTGGCTGGTGGCTGGGTTGGTTGACGGGCGGCGCGGCATGTAGCGAGGTCTGGCAGGCAGCGGCAGGTGAGCTCGGGATGGGGATGAGTTCGGCCGGCTGCTTGGCTACGCTGGGCTGGCGCGGCGTGCCGTTGTTTTGGTCCGGATGGAGTTGGGTTTAGCTTTAACTAGCCTTTGCATCTGTGTTTGTCTGCAGGATTTGTTGGACCATTTGCATGTGTAGAGCATGTGTTGACGTCCGCGTCAGCGGTGCCAGAGCGGCTGGTCTGCTCTCCGTGACCGCGCCCCTCGGCGGTGGCTACTTTGTTCCGTCTTGTTTGTTTACGCATCCCCATGGCACGGAGGCGAGATCCGCGGCCGAGTTCGAATCCGAAAAATGGCGGTTTCGTTGTCGTTGTGACACGGACGGCGGCTAGCTCCATTGCCGGGCGACGGCGAGCAGCATCAATGGGCCTCACGGGCTCCAGAAGGGACGGCTCGCGGCGCGCGCGGCACGGAATGGCCGTGGAGGTGGAGCGGACTACGGTCCAGTCTGGTACCTCTTGAATCCGTCGCGTGCTCGCGTTGCCCTGATCCCAGGACCCAGGTCATTCGTGTGCTACCCGAATGAATCGCTCGCCAAAGCTGCGTCGAGGAGCTAGCGTGAGTAAACTACACTGACACTGGCACGCTGCTAATTACGAAGTACTCCTATATAAGATCAGTCTCAGGCTCCCTACTTATATACACACACTTCTATACTACTACTACTGTACATACTGCTCCTACACTGTACTAGGTGATTATCATGTGCTCACCAGGCTATTATATTACTGCCTCTTCCAGTAATCATTTAACTAATCGCGATTATACGCATTGGTCAGTTCTACCGTACGGATCATGCTGCTCTCCATCTCTAGAGAACCAATCGCGATGGTACGCATTGGTCAGTTCTCAAAACAACAACAGACAAGTCTCCTCGCATCGATCCGATTATTTATTTATCCAAAAATGCGCTATTCACTGCGTCTGCGTAGATTGTAGTAGGAGTATAGCATCGCCCACCACGTGTGGCCACACCGTCGATTGGCGTATCAGCACTGGAGTATATACGCGAGGAGGAGCACAGTGAATCCCTGAGCTCGGACATGCCCTTCAAGTAGCTGTACGGTATTTATGCCGCACACTGCACAGTAACGGAGGGACGAGGGATCGGATGCGAGTGCGAATATGCGATGATGAGCACCAAGCAGCACGTCAGCGCTCTCTGACGGGCCTCCGCTGTATTTTCGGCCCATTTAATAGCCGATGACGGAGGGATACAGTGCGGAGTGCCTACACGGAAACGGGCAGCGGTGGTCCAATCTTGCAATCAGCCATACTGTAGCAATCGCCACTCTGCCACTGCCAGTAGCTACCACTGCCGGTCGGCGGACGATTCATCTCATGAAAGAAGAAGAAGAAGATGGGCTATGTTGACAAGGGCAGGAAATACGAATTTTCTTTTGGCTTTGGGAGTCATCAGGAGTACAAATAGTGAACGTCCTCTAATTGGTTCAAACTATTATAGAATTATTAGAAAACAGGAATAATAATCATTTAAAAGAGTCTTCGAACTTGCTCTTGTTGCTTCCTTCATATTTTCTCTTCGAGAATCCAAATCTAGGCAACTAGTCAAAAGTCTTTAGCCAGTGATTCTATTTTACCTAATAAGAAAAGTATCGAGAAAGGATGTTTCTGGCTCAAATATGGTCCCACATGCTCTAATAGCTAGAGCGTCCGAATCACCTCGCAGTGAACCCTGGTAAACTCGACCTGGAGAGCTTAACCTAACCGGTTTTCTCAAACAATCAGAGGAAACCTAGGGTTGTTCTTGGGTCGGCTGACGACCTAGAATGCCTTGCAAACGTTGTCAAGCAGCTAGCAGAACAACAAATAATGGGGGCGTTGGAAAAGTTAGAATTTGAAAAGATAAAACATCAGATTGGTTAAAAGCGCAATAGACCAATTTTGGTCTTCAATACGTGTCCCCCCTGTTCTTATGTACAACTTGCAAACCTAAAAACATACAATGACCGAAACTGACCAAGGGACGATGGTAAAACACAATACATCGACATGATGTGCCAAATGTGGTCGCCAAACATATGCCACCTTATTTTTTAATTAATTTATGTCCATTTTCTTCTATATGTATGAACCAATGAGATCAAGTCCATGGGTAGCATCAGTCCATGGCACCCGAAATTTGCCAATGGTGTCCAGAATGGATCCATCATGTGGTGGCAAAGCTAGGGTTAAGAGGTGACAGAGCATGTCGTTATAGGCGGCACCCTTCACCTCTTCTTCTATACCCTCCAACGTAATTACCAACCTGGCTAGTTGCACAAGCCACTATTTAACTCCACTATGCAACACTTGTCCCGGGAGAGCTCAGCTTGTGACGGGAGCATCAATGGCATTGAGAGTAGAGGCGATCAGGCTAAGTGGAGAAAGTTAGAAGAGAGATTTTAATATGGACATACAATGTGCATATAGTACCTTTAACTATGGTCCAATCTGAGGGCATGTTTGGTTTCTAGCCCTAGAGTGCCAAGCCCAAACACAGGTCCATGGCCAAAATCAAGGTATGACTAGTTTTTAGCTAGAATGGTGTTATTTGGGTTGTAGCCGATTTAAAACGTGTGGGCAATGCATAGAAAAACGGTGCGCAGATAACTATCGTGCTAAATTTATCAGATATGTGAGCATGAGATGTTGGGTCCACATGTTATTACCTTTTTTTCTTCAATAAAGCACAGCCACGTGAGATTCTGTTTTGCAGTTAAAATCATATAAGAAAAACAGCACGACAAAAATAAATTGGAAATTAGATATATGGTTTAGCAGATATTTGCATTTGAAGTTTGATAATTTAACATTTTAGGAGCTCGTACAAGCAATGGATGGCTGACGCGTCACTTGTGTGGGAGCAAAAATTGGTGCCTGCAGCCAGGCCCAAAGTTTGCCTGTAGCTGTTTCATGGGCCAACCAAACATTGGCTAGTAACCAAGCATCGGCCAATTTCTTCGTGGCAGACGATCAATATTTGGCTTGGTTTTCGTTGGCTTGAATCCAAACTTACCGTAAAGATCACTTAAACAATGGTAAGCTGGTCCATAGATATAAAGATCAATTTTTTTTGACAAGTTAGGCTTGGTTACGAATGCTTTGCAATTAGCCATACAATTCTCATAAAAACAAGTTAGCAGGCTAAATATTTGATGGAATGGATCGCTAGCTGCAGGCTCCCTAGTACCCCAAGGTTTTGTTTGATCTGAGGAATTTCTACAGAAATTGTATATGAGCTTGCCATCATAACTAGACAATCCCATTTGCGTATGACCATGACTATTTCTACTTTTGCATCTTGGCTTGCTATTTCTTCATAATACCATTATTGTTGATATTCCTTCTTCATACTTCCAATTTGATCAAATACCAATCAACTATCGATCTCATCTTGTTCATGCAAAGCAAACCACTGTTGAGACCAAACCATATTCGTTTCCCTTTGTTTCTCAGGCATGTTGTCTATTTCATCTCAAATACCCCTTATAACAAGATGATAATTGCCTCTCCGTGGTCAAGAAGCTCCAATCAAATGGAAGGGATCACTATCTGGTGACTTCCATCATTCATGACATCAAGCAAGTGACGAGAACTTCATCAATTGTTTTCTCCTTTATTTGTCAGTAGATGGCAGCTCATATTCCAGCTAGATCGATGAGCTGGTCAATCTTATGATTTAATTTTGTTTCATGCATGCCTGGATCTCATCTGAGTCTGGCCGTGCGTGCGTGCATTCCACGCCATCGCCATTTGCCACAGTGATCCAACGTACGCAATGCGTTCTGGTACCAACCAGTACGTGAGCACTCCTGCTTACTCTTGACACAGGCGCACAGCTTCAAGCTTTGGCTGGCTTTTCCGCTGCTGCTGTTTTGCATTTGCAGCGTACTACTGCTACTGCAGGTGCATGCACTCACTCCCAACGCTGCACTTTGCTCTTGCTCTCGCTTCATTCCCTTCTATGAAATGAAACCAAGTCCAACCTAGGAGCAGGCCGCTCGCTCGCTGCTGCTGCCGACAGCGTGCAGCTGCTCACTTTCCAGCAGCCTCGACGACGTCGGCCGCGTCCGACGTGCCACAGTACCCCAACTGCAAATGGGCACGTTGCTGGGGTCGGTGGATGACGGCGTGCTCTCTTCGGCTCTTCCTCGTGTGTGCGCGCGCGCGCGCGTAGATGTGGATGCAGAAGCAACCCCTCACAAAATACAAAATTCATTTTTAAAATTTTGGATATACAAATCACTGTATACCTATTTTCATGAGCATTTTTGTTGGAGTCATTATATTTATGACTCTTCTGTTGTAGTAGTAGCTAGGAAGCTGTAAGTATGTTGTTTTTTTTGGAGCGAAAGATCTCAAAACCGTGTGCTATTAATTTGTTTTCTCTAATATAATTTGATTCTTTATATATAAAAGGGAACGGCTTGACTGAGCGAGTGGTCAGTGCAGGCTTAGTACCTCCCTTTTGGGGTGGTCAGAGTTCGAATCCCAAGCGACTCACTTTTTATT